AAAGAAAGAAAGAAAGAAAGAAATGGCAGAGCCCCCTTCTTCAAGCTCCTTAGGACTGGAGTTCGTCACACCCCCAGCTCCGAGTATTCGCACATGAACTCCTTTCCTCGCTCGTCTCGTCGCAGCGCGGGCTCTTCTCGCTCCCTGCGGGCCCAAGCGCAGATGCAGCGCTCTATCTCCTCTACCCAGATGTCGAGGTCCTACTGCTGTACTGTTCGCAGCCAGTTCTCCCGGGTGGAAACCCGCGGGTCTTCTAGACTGCGGGTCTCCAACCGCCACTTTCCCCGGGCTTCGCTTCCTCCCGACACTTGGGAAATCCTACTTCTTTGAAGTCCCCAGCCCGCCCACACTGACTTCCCTAGGTGCAGAAGACGCCCTTGTTCATTTTTCCAGCGTGGCTCCTTTCCTCTTGGTCCTAACATTCTAAAACAACTGTAGGAGGGGACCTCTTTTCCTTCTAGCCGCCCCCCCCCCTCGGCCCCCTCTGAAACACTGTCCCTTTGGCTGCCAGGCCACTGCCCCCCCCCCCCCCCGGCCAGTCTCTGTTTTCTCAGGACATGTGCTGTTTCCCTTCCCTGGATCCTTTTCCTCACTGCTTTCCGCTAGACCTACCCTCTATCTTCTGGACTCCTGTGGCTTTTTCTGGGAAGAATGGAAATTAGGCCCGAGAGGCAGGGGGCGCAGCTCAGCTTGGGAGAGCTTCTTGGGTCTCGGCTTGGGAAAAGATGGTTTAGAAATAAGGGTTTACAGTTGTCTGCGGAGAGGCTTGAAACCCCATGGATGCCCTAAATGCCTTCCCTTCCAGGTTTCACTGCCCAGAAGGGTTGGCTCTTGGAATCGAAAAACGGAGTAAAGTTTTTTAGACAGCGTGAGGGACAGGGAGAAATTACATTAGCTCCTGTCTGAATCCGGCACCAGGCCACTTTTCCAGGGCAGGTCGGGGCTGCGGAGCTGGCTCAGAGTGTTGGGGCACAGCAGCTCTGAACAGTAAAAGGCACAAGTGCTTGGCTTCTGGGTATGGAAAGCACAAGTCAGGGAACGTGGGGAGATGGCTGAAGGGCCCAGAGAGGGAAGAACGCTGGAGCAAAGAAAACAAGGGCTCAGAGAGAGGATCCAGAGAACTGAGGTGCTGCGGGTGCAGTCTCTCCGTAATCGCGCCTTACATCCCTATTTTCTCTACTCTCAGAGGCCAAGTTGCAGAAATTTGACCTGTTCCCCAAGACTCTTCTGCAGGCGGGCCGCGCGGGCAGCCCGCAGCCTCCACAAGGGAAGCCCCTATCGCCGGACGGTGCGGACTCAGGCCCCGGGACGTCGTCCCCGGAAGTGCGACCCGGCTCGGGCTCGGAGAACGGCGACGGCGAGTCCTTTTCGGGGTCGCCGCTGGCCCGGGCCTCCAAGGAGGCTGGCAGCAGCTGCCCGGGCAGTGCGGGTCCTGGAGGCGGCGGCGACGAGGACAGCCCAGGTTCCGCCAGCCCTCTGGGCTCTGAATCCGGTTCTGAGGCTGACAAAGAGGAGGCCGAGGCCGCGCCGGCGCCAGGGCTGGGCGGAGGACCGGGTCCACGGCAGCGGACGCCGCTAGACATCTTGACGCGCGTCTTCCCGGGCCACCGGCGCGGCGTCCTGGAGCTGGTGTTGCAGGGTTGCGGCGGCGACGTGGTGCAGGCCATCGAGCAGGTGCTGAACCACCACCGTGGGGGCCTAGCGGCCGGCCTGGGCCCCGCTGCGCCCTCGGATAAGGCCGCTGTGGGCGCGGCAGCGGGGGCGGACGACGCTTGGCCAGGCCGGGTCGACGCCGCGGCCGCGGGGGGCCCCGGGCTGCCAGCGCCCCTGCAGGCAGGGCCCGCCGCGCCCCCACACCACAGACCCTTGCTGGCCGGCGCCATGGCGCCCGGGGCGCTGGGCTCGCTGAGCAGCCGCTCGGCCTTCTCGCCGCTGCAGCCCAATGCCAGTCACTTCGGGGCCGAGGCGGGCGCCTACCCGCTGGGCGCGCCCCTCGGCCTCAGCCCGCTGCGCCTAGCCTACTCGGCGGCGGCGGCGCACAGCCGCGGCCTGGCCTTCATGGCGCCCTACTCCACCGCCGGCCTGGTGCCCACGCTCGGCTTCCGGCCGCCCATGGACTACGCCTTCAGCGACCTCATGCGCGACCGCTCCGCCGCAGCCGCTGCGGCCGTGCACAAGGAGCCGACCTATGGCAGTGGGCTCTATGGGCCCATGGTCAATGGTGCCCCCGAGAAGCAGTAGGGCCAGGGCCCCGCAGCCCCACGTCCCCCGACGCCGCCCCGGCCTTGTCCCCGCTGGCCGCGGCCCCTATGCCCTTGGCGTGCACTCTGCCCCGCTGGGATCTGCCTGCTCCCCGAAGTCTTTGCTGTTTGGTTAGGGCAAGTGAGGGCCGGCGAAGGGGAACAGCTACAGGCGCAGGTGTGCTCCAGCGGCTGTGCGCCCCATCTCCACCCCTGTCCGGACACCTCCTCCAGGCTCGCACAGCCGATTTTTCAAAGGGCCAAGGATTCCTGAGAGTCGGGGCGACCGCGCTCCACTGCGCCTTTAGCTGCGCTCACGTCGCAGGCTGTGCTCTCAACTCCGAGTCTCTTCTATGTCTCCCTAAGCCCTCTCTTTTAAATTTTTTTAAAAAATATTCTAACAAATATAAATTTAGGATATATACATCTCTTGGCATTGACTTGAGTCTTTGGGACACACATATATATCGATATCAATTGTAAAAAAAAAAAAAGGAAACAGGTTCTAAGGTGCACTTTCCTTGTTGCGGTATTTGTCGCTCTTTGTTGCTTATGCCGATAAGCATGGGTTTCCTTGGTGCAGTGTGAGTTTTTATATATGTATAAATCTATATATATAATCTATACATATATATATACAAGCCCGTGTATAATGTTATAAATGGAATTCTAAGTTATTAATTGTAATCTGTAGGTGACCTCGGTATTAACGTGAAAAACATTCAAAAACAAGCATAAAAAGGACAACATGGAAAAAATTAGACTATGCGCACATTGACCTTATCAGGTTTTATAGATTAAATATACTGCAAACTCGGGACGAATCCTGCCCTCCCGCCCCTCTTGCCTGCTGCCGGCCTCGCCCTCAGGAGCCGCCAAGGTGTGCCCGAACAAGGCCGAGCTGGAAGCACCGCGCTGGCGCCCTTGTCTCCCGCGACTCGCCGAGCGCCCAGGCAGAAGGTCTGCAGCGAGAAACAGTGCTGCAGAGAACCGCTCACTTTGTGCTTTCCTTTGCATAGCTATGAACTAGAAATAAATGTTATTTTCTAAGAAAACAACACCGAATCCCGTCCCCCTTCTCAGGCTGCAGGGAGAAAAAAAAAAAACAAAACAACAACAACTTTGTTTTCCGCTGAGCAGCGGTTGCGAAGGAGCAGTTTGAACGAGGTCCTGCCCAGGCCTGGCCTCAGACCTCCGGCAGGTAGCACAACCTCTCCACTGCTCCCGGGAAACCCCAAAGCCCAGCGCGGGCCCCGACCGATGTAGCTGCTGCGCCGCCACTGGAAACGCGTGTCCCTCTCCCCCAGCGGGAGCTGCGGCGGAGACCCTCGCCAAGCTTGCAGTTTCCAAACACTGGCTGCTCCTTCCCGGGGGCCTTGTGCGGCCGGCGACGCACTTCTGGCTCTCCCAGGGTCGCAAATTTGGGTACAGCCTGAATTGCACAGCGCGCGCCTCGATTCTCAGGTTCGCAGCCAACGACAGTGGAGGTGAACACCGGGGAGAGGTGCAGCGACAGTTCTGGTCACAGGGTTGGGGGCCTGTGCGCTAATTTGGGGATGGTGGGCTACTGCCTTCGCCTGAAGCGGCGACAGGAAAGTGGCTGTGAGTCTCTAGCCCGCAGGCCCCCACCCCCAACTTTTCCTAAGCAGAGTTGAGCAAATTAGCGGCTCCGGGGCAGACCCCCTCTTTTACCCTCTCATCCCTCCCTCTGCCCGCAGGGTGGCTCCCCCTCTTCAGGAAACTGGGAGCCCCCTCCCCTAGGCCAGGCTGCCGACGTCCCAAGGTAAACTTCTGTGGCCAGCTCGAGTTCCGCCGGGCTGCGAAACTTAATAGCAGGACAAGAAAACGGTTTAATAAAGAAGGGCTTTAATAGGGAACTAATTTGATTGAGTTGCCTAATTCCACTTTAATTGGAAAGGGGGGCTGGCGGTTTGGTTATAAAGTGCGAGGGTGACAGGAGATGAAGTGGGGGGAGGAGAGGAGAAAGATGCGGGCAGGGGAGATGGACGAATGCACGAATGAAGCTAGGGAAAAAGGAAGGTGCACAGAGAAAAAGAAGAGGAAAGGGATAGAAAGAAGAGAGGAAGGCGGGAGGCAGCACGGACTTCCCGTCACCCTCGCCCTCATTCTAAGTTTACAAGGTCTCCAGGCCTCCTCCTGTCTGGCGCCCAATCTTCCGCCTCAATCCCACTTTGCACCCCAAGTGCAGCAAAAGACGGTCTGGGCCTCGTGGTGCCGGGCGGGACCTGCTTTGGGTCCCCTTGAAGCTCGTGTGTTTCTGCCTCCGCTCGGGCCAAAATCGAGGCTGACCGCCTGTGGGTCGTCCTGCTCTTTCCGAGCATCTGGAGCCCCCTCGCAGGTTATTTTTAGTTTATTCTCACAGCGAACTCGGGCGAATCCGGAGAATTGGTTATAAAGTGTGAGAATTGGTCATAAAATGCATCACCGACCCCATTTTACAGGACGGGATAATGAGGTCCGGCGTGGTCCTGGGACTGGACCTCAGCGTCTTTTCACCTGGCTCACCCTTCCTTTCTGGCCCACCAGTGATGGGAGATCCACGACATGGCCCTAGCAGAGCCCAGGTGACTTCTGCCCCCTGCTCGGCCGGGGACCAGTGGAAGCTAAGGGCAGTGGCAGCTGCGGGTCTCAAGTCGCCGTTCTCAGGCTCCGCGCCTTCCTGCCCGGCCCTTTGCATCGCCGGGGGAGCCCCGCGGACGCCCCTGGAGCCTGGCAAAGTCCTGCGCCCACGGCGCCCCGACGCACTCCTTGCTGTGTGGTCAGAGCCGGGGTCGCTCATCCAAGCTCCTAGAAGCCCTAATCGGAACTCGACGCTCACACGGATCATGGTGGCACCGAGGTGGGAGGCGAGGGGCCTCCCCGGTGCCCAGGGCCTGCAAGAAAGAGCGTGAAGTGCGGCGGGGCTCTCCCCAGGGGAGAGCGCTGCCGAGCCCACGTTTTCTTTTTTCCTCCCGGGCAGGACGGGGTTCCCTCCTTGGTCTCTGTTTATTTCCAAATTCTCCCTTAAACCAGCCTGGGCCTTGGCCCACAAAAGACAGACTTGGGCAGCTGGGGAGAGAGAGTGGGAAGAAGGAGCTGTTTCAAAATTATTTTCGTTCTCCTCTCTCTCCTCCTCCGGCTCCACACACTACTGAGCGCCTACTGTGTACCAGGCCTGTGCCGGGCTGTTTTCCGTGGGATCCGGCTCTGAGAGGGAGAGGGCAATGCAAGCTGAGAGCCTGGGCCTGCCCCAGGCTGGGGTTATTCATTCACGGATTACTGCCGTCGGTAAATATTTACGGAGTGCGTATTTACCCTGAGCCAGGCGGGGTGCTGGGGTGTTGGGATGCACCGGTGCGGGCGGGCTTCTCGGCCTCGGGTGCTGGGGCGCGGCCTACGGAGGGGCCGCTCTGCTCCAGCCCGGGGCGATCGAGCTGCCCAGGAAAGCGGGTGAGGGTGCTTCCGAGGCTTCCGCCTTGTGTAAGCGGTGCTAATGGTACGGCCTGTCTCTATGGGCGCTGCTAGGATTAAATGAGATCAGGTGTAAAAAGGTTTAGGGCTTGCTCACTAGACGCTCCCTGTTACAGTCCTCCTGTTCTTCAGCATGGCTGTTACTGTCCCATCTACCAGAGAAAGAAACCGCACAGAGGGGTTTGTGAGTCTTTCCAAGTGTCACAGGTTATGGAGCTCACAGGGGAAGTCTCTTTGCCCAGTGGGGTGTGTGTGTGTGTGTGTGTGTGTGTGTGTGTGTGTGTTAGCGGGGCACGGAGACGGAAGGGCAGGTGTGGTTCTGGAACCTCCAGGGGAGCCAAGTGGAGGGTTGGCAACAGGTGGGAGGGAGCTGGAGAGAGTGAGGAGAGAGGACCCTCGGGTTGCTGAGATAGACCGGCAGAAGCCACGTTGCAGAGCTCTTTAGTGCCAGAATTTCAGGTGAGTGCACAGAGAGAAGTGGGCAAAACTGGTAGGTTATTAGGGAAAAGGCTGAATCCCTCCAAAGAAAAGCCATGCTCAATGTAGATGGTCAGCAGCAATGGGAAGAGGGAGAGAGGGGGAACTACTGGGGGAGGGAGTCCAGACTCCACCCCCATTGGTTTAGCAACAACCAGAGGAGCTTGTGACTGATTCCTTGGTACCCAGAGGTGTGAGTCCCGGAGCAGAGGGGATTTAGGGTGAAGGAAAAGCTCAGTGTTCAACATGGACTGAAGGACTTCTAGGTCTCTGGGTGTGGACATCAAATGGCAGACAGAGTCAACATGCAGACTGCAGCAGAACCTTGGGAATGGGGAGGTGACCACTACATCCCCTTCCTACTGCATCCCCTGACTGGCCATGGGACTGCAGACACTCTCAGTAGAAGCCATGGGCATAGGAAGCCGGTTGAGCCCCCAGACCCTGAAGCTCTGCCTCTCACCATGCTCAGAAGACTGGCCACTTAAAACTGTGCACCCAGTAAAGGTCATGAATGAAACTTCGGGGCTCCTCATCTGTACAGGTCTTTCTCGTGGTCTTGTACTTTGTGCACATGGTCAGGTGACTTTTATTTCCTTTTTTTTTTTTTTCAGAACCGGGGATTGAACTCAAGACCCTGTACTTGCCAGGCAAGCACTTATTCTACTGAGCCATCTCCCCAGCCCCCTACTTTTGTTTCCTTAAAGCTTCATGTACCATTAAAAACTACATCTTATCTGGGTATGGTATACACACTCTGAACATTGACACAGGAAAATTGAGGGTTGAAGCCAAGCTTGGACAATCAACAACTTAGCAAGACCCTGTCTCAAAATAAAAAGGAGTTGGGATGCCACTCAATGTGAAGACCCTGAGTTAAACACAATTACCAGGAAAACACACACACAGAGAAAGAGAGAGAGAGAGAGAGAGAGAGAGAGAGAGAGAGAGAGAGAGAGAGAGAGACTACCTCAAGTGTTCCCCAAACCACCCAATTTAAATCACACCCTTTTAGCTGCCTTTTCCTGTTAGCTATTGTTATATAACAAATGACCCTCAAATTTAATGGTTAAAAACAAGAAGTACCATATTATAATATCATTTTATGGACCTCGAATTTGGCTAAGGCTTGGCTAGGTTGTCTTTGGCTCTATGCACTTCTGATGGATGTTGGTCTGGAGGGTGTGGCACAGTTTCAGTCACAAGTCTGATGCCTTGGGAGACTGGGATCAGTTGGACAGTCTCTTGGAACAT